CAATTTTCGATTTTCTTTTTAAAACATCCCCAGAATTCAAATTTTCACTCATTTTTTTCAAAATCAATTTCAATTAAACTCCAAAAATAATTTTACCATATTTTATTATTATTATTATTTTTATTAAATTAAATTAAATTAAATTAAAATCTTATAAATTAATTATTAAAATAAAATAAAATAAAACAAAATTTTAATAAAAATTAATATAAAATAAAATTTGGGTGTTACATAAAATCATATATTTCACTAAATATGATTTTTCCAGGGAAATTAGTAATAAAGGACAAACTTCCACGTCCAAACAATGGCTGACCTTCATCTAAAGACGACCAAATTTTGACTCTGAGTCAATCCATCAAATTAAATTAATCACCAAAATCAAAGTCCAAATTAAAATATCGTAATCACTAAAACATTATTTGAAATCAAATTGAAAGAAACTCAAATCATTAAACATAATAATATGGCACTTAAAAATGTTGTTCAGTCTATTTATAATCTAACGAAATTAAGTGAATAGTAAGAATAAGTTCGGTTTAAATAAAGATGGATTAAATTTTTTAAAATTTTATAATTAAAAATTTAGTTTGATTTGATCTAAACTATTTGAATTAAGTTAAAGTTTTATTATATATTTTAAATTTAAGGTATTATTATTTTAAACTAATACTCTCTCCACCAAGTTAATCTAGTCAAAAAATCAGGCACTAATCAAATAAGCTAAAATGTGAAATTAAAGAAAAAAATTTTTTTTAAAAAAAAAATAAAAGAAGAAGAAGAAAGAAGTCGGAAACATAAAAACAGGACAGGACAATTTTGATAATGAAGTAATTAGGTGGCTTTTGGAATAACCTTCACAAATTTCTATTTTAAACACGTAACAAACTTACCCGACCAACCTAATTGATTCCTAAAGAAATTGTGTCCGACTAAAGTTACTTGACCAGGAAAATTCAGTCAATATTATTCAGTGATTTCAGACTTCTTCTAATATTAATTGATAAATTTGAGGACTGACAAAAAGAATACAGGTACCCACAAGAGTAATTACATATAGAGATATATATGTATATATGATTTTCCTATAACGTAGAGAAGGATGACTGATCCTATTTAATTTGGGAATCTATTTTTCAGTGTTTTCGTTCTAATTTCAAATTGAATAGTTAATAATAATTTAGTTTTGATAAATTTATTGGGAATTAATGAAATTATTATTATTTAATTAGAAATGAAGAATAAGATGGTAGAATATTGTACAAAAATATTAAAACATTTAAAAAATATGTTTTTGAGAATATTCGTTGTATTAACCAGAGAGCACGGTTAGAAATTAACCACTCAGCACGTTTTGCCCAACATACAATATGCCAATATAACGTGTGTATATATATAGTTGCAGAAATGTTTGTCACACGCAATAGTACCCGACTTACAAGCTGGGGTGGAGTACATACCTAATGCCGATTATAATGTGTGTTTGTATATGTAGTTGCAGAAATATTTGTCACACGCAATAATACCCAACTTACAAGCTGACGGGTAGCAACATATAACTGCAATATTGAAGAATGAAATCAACTTAGCCTAACCTTTGTCATCAGCACTAACGTCAACTTCATTGCCTAAATATATAAACACAGGGCATCAACTTCAACCTTGGAGAACCTACACAAATATATATATATATATATATATATATATATAAACACGTGTGCATGTGTGTGTGAGTGAAGAGAGATGTATCAGTGACACAATTGATTCACGTAATTTACAAGAAAATTAATATTAATTTATTAATTAATCTGTTAATAACATAATTTACAACATAATCCTGTCCGCAGAAATTAGTGTAGGACAAAATTTAGAAGCTACAAGATCGTGATATTAATTGAGAGAGATTTTCTTAAAAGTTTTTTGAAAGATAAACATCCGGTGGTGATGCACATTTTCTCCATGCATATCTCCCACCTCATACACTACAAAAGCATTTCGTCATCATTTCTTTTATATTTTAATTAATTACTCTGTTAATTTGTACGGTATAATTAATACCTCGTTATATATATATATATATACACACACATATATAGGGGTAATATATATAGATGGGTGTATGAACCCACACGCAAAGGATATATACATAGTGAAGGGATGTTGAAAAAGTCAGACTGTTCCATATGTTTCATCATACTTATTAATATCCACCCATTGGAAGCTCCATTCTTCTCTCCATGCTATTCTTTTACATAACTAAATACATATCATACCCAACTCTCTCTCTCTCTCTCTCTATATATATATACATATATTTATATTTATGTACGTTAAATTTGATTTTAAGTATATTTTCCAATTTAGTAATATATTTTAATGCATAATTAAAATTTTTATTACTCAACTTTAAAACACAACAATATATATGAACGAACTAATAAGAAAGGCTAGTTTTGTTTGGTTAGAGTAGTTATAAGAAACCAGAAGGATTTTTTGCGAGCCATATATAAATAAATTTTTTAATAAATTCCCAAAAAAAAAAAAAAAACAAAAGAACTAGAAAGATACATGCGAAATATATATATATATGTATATATATAGAAAAGTTGATGATTTTCTAAAGGGGTCCATCTCTTGTCTCTTTGATGCATGGATGATGTAAATAACACGTTGGCCTCTCCTTTTCATGATAAGTTGATGAAGTGTGTATATACATTACATACATACACACCACAAAGATTAACCAAGTAAACTACAATTAATTAACCCCGTTATTATTTAATTAGACGATGGAAAAATATTGTAGAATGAGTGAGTTAATTCCCAACACTCTTCAAATTTGATTGAACTATTTTTTGCTCCTTAATCTAATAAAGATTCTCTGTACTACATACTACTATTCTCTTCTCTCTCTTTCTCAAACAAAATTCATTAATGTTAAAGGTGGTGGTTGATAAAACACCACATTTTAATGTACACAACCACTATATATATATATATATATTTATATTTATATACATATGTGTGTGTGTGCGTGCGTAAATGTCATGCTCTCTTTGTCAACATTAACATATATGTATCTCCTAGCTATATAATTATAATTTTTCTATCCTATTTCTTAATTTTATAAATAATATTGGTACATACGTATTAATTTTTAGCTACTTAATTTATGATTATTAATTGGTTTACTTTATACCTATAATTGTTATTACTTTTACTATGATTTATTATTATTATTATTATTATTATTAGTTTTAAAAATATATGTACCTGTTTATTGACGTACTAGTTACTTCATTTAATTAAATATTCCTTTTATATAGTAAAAAATTAGTATAAATATTCTTGTAAAGACTTCCCTCATTTCAATTTCTCTCTCTTCGTCCTGGTGTAATTTAAAGGGACTTGGTGGGTGATATTTATTTCTTCATATACCGCCATACGAACTCAGAACACTTTCTCCCTTTTAACCCTCTTCCTGCCATGCCTTCCCCTTCCACCGCTCTCCAATGGCTGAGCTTGGTGGGTCTGATATGGCTTCAATCAATAAACGGAACCAACTCCAATTTCCCTGCTTACTCTTCCCAGCTCAAATACCTTCTCTCCATCTCCCAACTCCAACTCAACAACCTCGCCTTTGCCTCCGATGCCGGCAAGCTCTTCGGCTTCGTCTCCGGCATCGCAGCTGTCTATCTCCCTCTCTGGTTCGTCCTCTTGATCGGAGCTTCACTAGGGTTGATTGGCTACGGCGTCCAGTACCTCATCCTCGCCAAACTCATCCCATGCTCATCTTACGCCCTAATATTTTCCCTCTCTGTTTTAGCAGGAAACAGCATTTGCTGGATCAACACAGTTTGCTATGTCGTCGCCATTAAAAATTTCGCATTGGATCGTCAAATCGCCGTGGGATTAACCACCAGCTACTCAGGGTTAAGTGCTAAAATCTACACAGTCATAGTTGACTCCTTCCCATTCTTCTCCTCGCCAACCAAAAGAGCTAAAGCATATCTCTTCCTCAACTCAGCCTTGCCTCTCCTGGTCTGCGCCATAACAACCCCACTCGTCGGAGACATTAACGTCGATAAATCGAGGAAAACGAGAAGTGGGTTCATGTTCATGTTGATCATAACAATGGCGACTGGAGTCTACGCGGTGATTAGCAGCTTACTGTCAATGCCAAAGCTTGTTAGCTTGACAGGCATGGGGCTTTTCCTTCTGGCTCCACTTCTGATCCCTGCGGGAGTGAAACTCAGAGAGATGGCTGATGAGAAGAAAAGGGGAATGGTGGTGCATGATGAAGAAGGCTTTGGAGGATCAGAGAGAAGATCAGAAATGGAAGTGATGAAGGAAGTGTGTGAGATTGGTGGGAGAGAGGAGATTGGAGTGAAGTTGATGGTGAGGAGAGTTGAATTTTGGTTGTATTTCTTTGCGTATTTATGTGGGGGAACTCTTGGGCTGGTGTTCTTGAATAATCTTGGACAAATTGCTGAGTCTCGCGGCTGTCCTGCGACTTCTACTCTGGTTTCATTGTCTTCTTCGTTCTGTTTCTTCGGCCGCCTCCTTCCTTCTCTCATCGATTATTACTTCTCCAGGTTAATTTCATTCTCACCCTCACTACCCTTTTCTTAAACTACGTATATATACATGATCAGAAGAACATATAGTAATTTAGGCCAGCTTGGAGATCATAACTGAGAAAGAAGAATTTTAAAATTATAATAAATTGTAATTATGTTTTTTATGACAATAATCTGAACATGTTTGAAGGAAATATCATAATGAATTTTGTTAAATTTTAAATTTTTTCTTTTGATGAGAAATTAAATATGGTTTTAAGGCGTATTGTCCAAATTTCAAAAATATTTCAACTCATATTAAATACGCAACATAATCACAATTATTTTTTAAAATGTTTTCATAGTATTATTTGATATATTTCATAAATCAATAGAAATTAGTTAATTTTTATTTCTTAAAAAATACAATTAATAATTTAATGCAATAAAATATGGAGTCCATTAAGTAATTATATGAGTGGGGTGGGGATATTTATGTTTTGGTTATTTAACGTGAACAATGTATCAATATAAATATTTTAGTTGATACAATTAATAAAAACTTTAGCTTAATTTTATTTCCACAGGAATAAATACATGATTTCAAGACCAGCTTCAATAGTAGCATCCACGGTCCCAATGGCTGGAGCATTTTTCTTCCTCCTCAACAAATCCAACTTCTCCCTCTACATTAGCACCGCGGTGATTGGAATTTCTACCGGCACAATCACTTCTGTTGCTGTATCGACCACGACTGAACTTTTTGGAGCAAAAAATTTTAGTGTCAATCACAATATCGTAGTCGCAAATATTCCAATTGGATCATTTGTGTTTGGGTATTTAGCGGCTTTCTTTTACCACAAGGAAGCAAATGGCGAGAAATGCATGGGAATGGAGTGTTACAAAAACACTTTTATCATATGGGGTTGTCTTTGTTCTTTTGGGAGTTTACTTGCTTTAATCTTGTATATTCGCACGAAAAAATTTTACTCACATAGATTAATTAACATGAATCAGCAGAGTTAGTACATTCATTAATATTCTAATGTGACACAAAAATATAATTATCTTTTACATTGACATACAATTATTGTATGTAAAGTATGTCAACTATCTTATATATTTATATATATATAATTTTAATAACTTAAAATAATTAAATGTATTACATTGAGTATACATGAATATCAAATTTTGGCTAAGGTGAAATTTTGTTCTCTATGTTTCTATTTTCATATATTTTAAATTCTGTGAATTTTTGTAACAATTTAGTACTACGGGGTCTTTTTTACTTTTACATAAATAATTAGTTTTATTGAAAATAGGTTGTACATATATGAATCTCTACATAATAATGAATTATAATTTAATTTCAAATAAATTAAAATTATTTTAAAAAGAAAAAACTATAGGAACACAAGATTTTGTAGCTACTAAATTTTTTTTTAAAAAAATTACTCGTCAAATAATTATTCAAACTCAAACCTAAGCCCAAAATCTTACACATAACTGTGGTTACAAACTTTAATAATTAATATTATTTATGCACACATATGATCATGTATCTATATCAGCTATCCAAAAGCATGACGATTTTATAGTCTCAATATATATATATATATATAATATCGTTAGTAAAATTAATTGGCTTTACTGTAAGTGCATTTTTTTTTCTTCAAATTTTATTATAAATTTACACACTGTTTTCCAATTATTCTAAAATTAGTAGATTAATATGATAATTTTCCATAAAAATGATTAATATAAAATTTAATAGTATTCTTTAGTAGTACAATTAATTTGATTGGAAGGAACCATTTCGCACCATTCATTTTGTGTGGCATGGGACCATGGTATATAATGTGAAAATGACTTGAAATATGGTAGTGGCGAGCCTTGCAGAACAAATTAAATTCAATCCAGTTAATAAAGATTCACGATAAGACTTCTATAGTGACAAATAAAAATTAAATAACGATTCTTAATTCTTTTATCTTTTTTTTTTTTTTTCAAAATTAGATTAATTTTTTATATATAAACACCTAAAATATGTATATATTAACATGCAATAAATTTTTGTACGTTCATCATAGACTTATTCAAACCGATAATTAATTTATGGGTAAAGCTGGAAACGTGTCTTAATTTATGAAATTATTATTGCTCGTGCTGAGAGCTTGAAATTGGTATTTAACCATCAAATTTTTGTTGTTGTTTGTCTGGTTGTTAGGTACGTATTTAAAGTGGTGTGTTTATACACACTGGCCTTTTTTGGATGTATCTTCTTACTATTTTCCAAAACGAAAAAAAAAAAAAAGATTTGGAGTACTTTACAATATGTTTTCTATATAATTAACGATTAACTAAAAAATGGTGTGTTATAATTATTTAAATGACAGTGAGGCAAATAAAAATAAAATTATTTATTATATAAATTCATAAGTTAAAAATAAAATAAAGTTATAATTTGAACTATTTATAACTTTTTACATATTAATATAGTTAGAGAATCATGATTTTTATACGCAAAAAACACTTTATATGAGGGAGATAATAGTCTCTTTCTAATTTATTTAATTAATATAATTTTATATATTTTAATTTATGTTGATAATATAAAAATTATATATAGATAATATTTTATTATTATGTACATTTATTAATAAATACATAAATAAATTAATATAATTTATAAAATTATTTCACATAAATATTTTAGCAACTTATTTAAAAAGCTACATAAACTTGTAAATCATTGAAGAACTTATAACTGTACAAATTATAAATTATTATAATATAAGCTAATTAATAATTAATGTAACTACCGCCACTTATAAATTTTCCAACTAGATTTCTATAATTGCAACCCCAGTAAAAATAAATAGCCTCAAATCTTGGCGGTACAGAACTAATTATGCCACAAAAACAAAATAGGCGCGCACTCTGCCTAATTAATTGATATAACCGTGCGTGACGCAAAGTCGGCATCATTGTAACGTCAGCCCGATTTTATTATGACGTGGTATTTATTTAATTAGGATATAATGAATAATTACTCCCGGCCCACCGGCCCATGTTACGTTCTTTTAATCGTCTTCTCCATCCTCGACCCCACGTATGCACGTACGGTCCTCTCCTTTCCTTTTCAGCGCCAATCGAGATGTGAACTGCCTCGTAAGCGACACCGTTTTTGATTCTCCATCCGCGGAGCGCTTCCTCTTCTTTCTTGACCAATCAACCACTTTCAGTCAGCTACGACTGGCTGTTTGCAAGGCAAAAATAACTGGTGGTCGAGAAATGTTCACCGTCGTAGATCTACTACTATTGCCGGAAAATATGTCGGCCGTCTTACGGGAGGTGGCACTGTGGATACGGTAAATCCGTCTCTGTTCCGGAAGATTGGGCGGTTGGTTTGCACAAGGTGATGTTTGGCTGGAGAAGGATGTTAAAAGAATCGCTGAGTAGTTAGTATTTGCAATTTCAAATCTGAATCTTCTTTTGGCAGTTAATTGGTAATAAATAATACTTACTAATTTAGATTTAGTTCTCAATATTCTTTTTCTTTTACTAATAAGTATCGATAGCAGTAGACTTGAGCTTGTAATATGCAGTTTTGGCAATTTCTGTTTCTTGATTTATTTAAAAAAGGAAAATGTAATCTGAGTTTAAGTTGAAGTGTTTTATTGGGAAATTTTGAACCTCTTAAATAATGTTGAAAAAAAATTAACAAATTTAGATGAGAATACTATGTTTTGATATATTAATTTTTCACTTCCGGCCTGCGCATTGTCTCTCCTATCTCTCGCATTCTATGGCTGTCATTAAGTTTTGTAGGCATGATGGGAGCAAGAACGATGAGGCATTTAATACGGAGATTTGTAGCATATACTGTAGTTAATTAGTTAGATTTGGACCAGTGATTATTTTTTGCTGGCTTGGGTAAATTGAGATTCTGATACTGTGCACACGAGATGCTTCAAATCACTGTGTAGTTGGATCTTGGCCTGTAAGACTTGGATCTGTATAT